AACCACATGTCTGATGAAGTGAAACCTGACATCAATGTGCTTGGTTCTCTCTTGGAACATCTGATTTTTAATCAGGTGTATGGCACTCTGCCTGTCGCAAAACACAGTCAAATCATATTGCTGCAAGCCCAAATCACCAACTAAGCCTCTCAACCATATAGCTTCCTTCACTGTCTCTGTAGTTGCCATGTACTCAGCTTCAGTAGTAGAGAATGCAATTATGGGCTGCAAAGTCGCCTTCCAACTGATCACACTCCCACAAAGAGTGAAGACATACCCTGTCAAGGACCTCCTCCTATCAAGATCTCCAGCATAATCCAAATCAACATATCCAGCAACACTACCACGTGTTGTTGCCTTTGTCTTAGACTAAGGCAACATCTATAGTGCCTCGCAAGTATCGCAATATCCACTTCACAGCCTGCCAATGGACCTTTCTAGATCTATCCATGTATCTGCTCAATACACTAACTGCATATGAAATGTCCAACCTAGTGCACACCATAGCATACATGGGGCTACCAACAATCTGCCTGCTCCTCTATCCCTGTGAATTTCCATACCCAATATCTTCTTTGCAACACCAAAATCCTTCATCTCAAATTCACCACAAGTCGAGCCTTTAACAAGTTAATTTAGACATGTTCTTGCAAGTTATCAATGTGTCATCAACATACAGCAACAAGTACAAATACGAACCATCTGAGAGCCTCTTGTGATACACACAACTGTCAAACTTACTCATACAGTAGCCATTCCCAACCATAAAGGTGTCAAATTGTTTGTACCATTGTCTTGGAGACTGCTTCAGCCCATACAAGGACTTCTTTAGTAGGCAAACATGATCTTCCTTTCCTAGAATCTCAAACCGCTTCGGCTGATGCATATAAATATGCTTTTCCAACTCACTATCCAAGAAAGCATTCTTGACATCAAGCTGTTCAAGCTCCAAGTTATACAGAACAACCATAGCAAATAACAACCGGATTGAACTATGTTTCACCACAGGAGAAAACACTTCATTGAAGTCTACCCCTTCCCTCTGTGTATGCCCTTCGCCACCAAGCGTGCCCTGTACCTCAGATCTTCCACCCCTAGAGTTCCTTCCTTTTTCTTGAAGACCCATTTACAGCCCACAATCTTCTGTCCTTTAGACTTCTTAACTAGCTCCCAAGTCTGATTCTTATGAAGAAACTCAATCTCCTCACTCATGGTAACAAATCACTGTGCTGACTCTCCACCTGTGATGGCCTCATGATAAGTACACGTTACCTGCTCATCAATATCCTATGCCACACTAAGTGCATAAGAAACCGAGATGTGAAAACCCATACCTCTCAGGAGGCCTAATATCCCTCCAAGGCCCGTCTCTAGCCACACTATAGTGCTGCAACTATGCATCTCCCTTAGCCCAAACTGCACCTGCTTATTAGTCGACTGATCAGGACTATCCTTTAACTGAACCCCTACATGTTCCACTTGCTCACTGACCCTGAGCTCTCCTTGAATCAACTACCTCCTTCTAGAAAGTAAGCATCGCAGACTTATGAAAGGTCATATCCCTGCTAGCAAGTATCTTCTTTTCCGAAGCCTCTGGTCACCATGATCTATATCCCTTGAACCCAGTCTGATAACCAAGAAATAAGCATTTCTTAGCTCTCGGTTCAAGCTTTCCCTCATTCACATGAGCATACGTTGGACATCCAAATATTCTCAGATTACTGTAACTAGCAGGAGAATCAGACCATACCTCCTCTGGAGTCTTACAGTCGATAGCAGTTGATGGAAATCGGTTCACCAAGTAACTAGCTGTAGAAACAACTTCAGCCCAAAACCCTTTGTCCAACCTGCATTGGACAGCATACACCATGCCCTCTCCAATAACGTTTTGTTCATCCGTTTTGCAACTCCATTCTGTTGTAGAGTCTTTCTCACTATGTGGTGCCTCATAATCCCGTGAAAGAGTTAGGAGATTGTTGTGGTTTGTGGAGTCTGATCACGTGTTACGTGAAGGAGTTGGGAGGTTCAAATTTGCTGGTTTAGTTTCTACGTTGGCTACTGGCATGTTCGAACCGGTTCAGGTTTAGGGGGCTTTGAACCGGTTCAATTGGAAGTGTAAATTTAACTTTGGCTACTGCCAAAGTTGAACTGGTTCAGGGGTCTTTGAACCAGTTCAAGTGTAGCGTTGACTTTGGCTACTGCCAACGTTGAACCGGTTCAGCTTCCCTTGAACTGGTTTAAGTTGGCCAGTGAATTGCACAACATATGACAACAAAGCTGAACCGGTTCAACTCCCTTGGGAATCTACGTGATTTAACTTCCTTATTGGTTTTGGACTCTACAAAAGGCAAGTTCTTGTAGGACAAGTTGTATTCCATTGTCTCGGACTATATATATCAACCTTAATAAGATTTTAGGGTTGTGAGATGACTTGAAGAGAGGATTATCATATGTGTTGTATGATTGATTAAATTTGTGCCAACACAAGAGAGAGCAATTGAGAGAAAATTCTCCATTATAATTCTTCATCTTTTTCATAGTGGAATAGTTCAGTGCGCTCCATGGACGTAGCCCTAAGATTTGGGCGAACCATGTATATCTTGTGTTTTTGTGTGTGATGGTTTTTTTTTTTTTTTTTTTTCATGATTGCTTATGTTTATTCCTCGAACATCATTGTTTTTTGTGTTTCTGCCACAACAACTTGTATCAGAGCATCCAGTTGATTGTGAAGCAACTCCAACAAGAAGTTACTCATTGAAGTAGGGATAGTTATGTCCTTTTAAAAGGATGAGTAAGGATAGTTATCTGATTTGGTTTAAGAGAGGCAACTTCAGCATTTAGGGAAAAAATCTTTAATAGACTTGACAGACCGTTAACAATGTTGGGGAATTTGTGCTTCAGTCACTTAGGGCCCCACGAAAGTTCTACGTGATTATTTATCCTTTCTTTATTGTACAGAAATAAAGTCTATTTCTATGTATTGTTTCAATATATGCCTTCTAGGACAAGTACAGTATATCCCATCAGGCGTTGCTATTGTTTCATAAGAGTTATAATTACATATCAAATCTTCTTAAATAAATCATATTCTCATTGAAAATTTACCCCTTTTGTTCTTCTTACCATATAAAAAGAAATCATGTCAGGAATAGAAAAAAATAACCAAGAAATAAATATTTAATCTCAGTTGCAAACCTCATCAAATTAGTTGCCTCATGCTCAGCTCCAATTAGATCTCCATCTCCAAGGTCATATTATATATACTATGAAACTGAACTGGTAGAATGAACATGACTAGCTTTTAATGTGATTCAAGTCTAACCAGTTTTGCATTCATTGAGGCATTTCATTGTTATGATAATGTTGTATCTTTGAGATACTGGTTAATTTATCAGTTGTGACTCTTTTCTCAAGATGGTTACATGTGGTGCATTTAGAGGCATGAGCTGGCAATATTTGAGCTTTGGTACATTATGCTTGACAAATGCCACTGCAATTATCTTAGTAGTGGTGAAAAAGAGCATTTCGGCACTGAGGTTCTCTAAAATGCTTCCTTCCTGTTAATTGCAAATGCTTGATCTTTTAGTGTTGAGTGGGAACATACATCTTTGATCCCAAGCAACAAACAACCACTGCAATGCCAGTATTTTCCTACAAATAATTATTTCTGGTTCCTGTCCCTCTTCTGGTTAGGCATTGCTAATTTTCTGATTTGACCTGAATTTCTGATATTAGTATCACACAGATGCTGAGAAGGTGCTTATCCCAGATTCCCAATGTTTTGGATAAGAGCTTGTGCCGAAAGCATTACAACTACTAATACCTTCTATGTTACCCAACATTGTAAGTAATCATTAAAAGTTTGAAACTTGTTCCGTCTCATTGTTTCTCATTTGAGATAGTGGCATGGAGCATATGGTGGAAGTCACTTGCAAATAGTATACTTCGACAACAGTTTGTAGAAGAGTTGGATACCTTTTTGTTGACATCTTGTGGTGACAAGCAATCTTCTAGAACATTTATCAAGCCAATTTAGGATGTTGACTCTCTGAGAGTAGTTTCAAATAGAATCTGTCATTATTTCAATTTAGCAACCATTTGATATGGTGTGCTGGATTTGTGCTTGTATAATTCATCAAAACTTAAATGGTGATTGTGTCACTTTGTCAATCTTCCTCTGGCATCCTTGAGTATAGCAATAAAAGATCGTTAACTTTTCACATTATGGCCATAGAATACCAGCATAATCCTCTATCTTAGCTTGTACCTGTAATAAGAGACTATTATCTTAATTTTTTTATGGAAGTAGAAGCAGCCCACATATTATCATGAAATGGTAGAATCTTTATTTGATCAGAATAATATCATATTATTTAGGAAAAAGAAAAGAATAATATCATATTGATTATAATAGTGTCACTTTACTCTCATCTTTATCTCCATTCTAATTATTTTGTTTATATGCTTAATGAGTGTTCAGCAGCCCATGTGTCTCAAACTGCACCTTACCTAAGCTCTACAGCTTATGGAGGTCACTATCATGGAGCACTATCTCCCACTCATTCCTCTTTAGAGTAAGCAAAAGTGTGGATTCTGGTAGATATACATTATGTACACACTCATTCTTGCTCAACTGAGTAGAGCACTGTATTGCTATACTGTTTATACCCTGAAACCTGACTAGCCAACTTCAGAAATGTTTGTTATTAATGTGGAATACATTTATTTAGGATAGTTGAAATATTACATTATAATTATATGGTCTCTCCTTATTCCATTATTTTTGTTACATCATTTCTTTGACTCGTTAGTTTATCGTGTATCACAAAAAATCCACCATCCATGGATGCGAGATTCAGAATCTCATTAATGACAAATCAGATGGCTATAATCAGCCTTTTCATCAAGTTTGGACCTTACCTTTGGTTCTCAGTTGGGGTCCCTCATTGAGCATGAGTACTGATGCATGAACTAACATAACCCTGAAAATAAGTCACCAAGCAATGGATACAAGAATCATCCTGGTATTTAATTATATTATCTGAGATAGTTATTCTGATGAATTTGATGATTGGAACAGTAAATTACAAACATTCTGATAGATCAATGGAACAGTAAATTACAAATTCATGGGAAACTTGATTTATGTACAAAAATTTGGTTAAGCTCTAGTCATCACCTAGAATAGAAGATGATATTCCTAGAGAGGAGGTAAATGTTGCAGTGGTGTCTCCACTAAGGTATCTCTTCAGACGATCCAAGTCATCAGCAGCATCAAGCATTGTAGGCCTGGTAGAGGCGGATTCCTGTGTGCAGAGAATACCCAACTCGATCAATTCTCCAATCGCAACTTCCCACATTTTTTTCACTTCAGGGGACTCATCTCTCAAAGCTCTTACCAATGAAGAGTCTACCACTTTTTCCATCCTTCCACCATGGTACTGACTCTTAACCCATTTGTGTAGGCTTAGCCCACCACCAAACATGTCATCTGTTGGTCTCCTTCTAGTCACCATCTCAAGAACTAGAATGCCAAAGCTGTAAACGTCTCCCTTTGTAGATGTGATTGATCCAAACCCATACTCTGCACAAGGAAAAGGGAAGAAAAAAATTGAATGAAAAGCAAATTGACTTCAGCTTTGTACCGAAGAAAACTAAAATCAAGAAAACATTGTACAATAAATTTGGTACTGAATGTCTAGGAATGTGGAATATTGGTGTTAATGATTTCAAGGTTCTTATCGATATTATATTAAATAATGCAGACTTAATATAAAATCTGCCTTTATGCTGGAAAATGACTTCCCAAATTCCAAAAAATCTATGATCTAATTTTTTTTTCTTTTTTTTTTTTTTTTTCCTGAATCTATGATCTAATTTTCCATTTGTTTAGAGAAAGTATAGAAGTTGTAAGAACTCTCTTTTATCTTGTGCTTAAAACAATGTAGTAGGAATTGAGCTTTAACATTTTTTTTGTTCCATTCCTTTTGAATTTCAGATGCAGAAGAAAAGCAGAAATATGTACCTGGTGCTATGTATCCAATGGATCCACATAACATGTTTGCAGTAGAGTTCCCCATGTTCTCAACAACCCCAGCATTTTCCACTCCAGCAACCAACCTAGAGATCCCAAAGTCAGAGACCAAAGCTGTCAAATCATCATTGAGAAGAACATTGCTTGGCTTTAGATCACAATGTACGACTCTAACTGGAGAGTGGTGATGTAGATAAGCCATCCCTTCAGCTATGTCACTGCAAATGTTGACTCTCTGAATCAGGCTCAAGTCTGAAGACCCCGAAGTCGAAGCCGAAGCCAGACCTGTACCTGAGTGTGGGTAGAGACGGCTATCCAAGCTTCCATTTGCCATATAAGGAAGAACAAGGGCCTTAAAATCAGGTAGACTACAAGCTGTTATAATCCTTATCAGGTTCCTGTGACGAATTCTCTTTAAGACTTGGCATTCTCTGTTGAAACTCTTGGTAGAATTGCCAGTTTGCAGATGTAACACCTTAACTGCTATAGGCGTTCCATCTGGAAGAACTCCCTTGTAGACATGCCCATAGCTTCCTGACCCAAGAAGTCGTTGCTGATCAAATCCTCCAGTGGCTTCTGAGAGTTCCTTATATGTTATTCTTGGGAAATTGTGGATCAGTTCTGGTGGTGATTGGCTTACTGTTTCAGCCTCCCCAGAGGAAATCTTTCTTTGTAAGCGCCGGCATACAATCACACAACATATTGTTGACAAGAACACTGATACAGATATGACTATACAGAATACAATCAAATGCGAACGAAAGTAATTCCGCAGCTTTCGATGGCAATTTCGAAGACCAGGAAACCCACAAAGATTTTCGTTGCCTAAGAATGACAGATTTGTAACAGATTTAAAGATGCCATCGGAGGGAATTCTTCCATTGAAATTGTTATATGAAAGATTCAGAAATGTGAGAGTTTGAATTTTGTTCAAGCTTGTTGGGATTTTTCCAGACAAATGGTTTCCTGAAACATCAAAGGCTTCAAGGCTCTTAAGATCACCTAAGGAATCTGGAAGCTGCCCTTGAAGAGAATTGTGCGAAAAATTCAACAGCCTCAAGGAAAGACAATTTGATATCTGAGGGAAGATACTTCCAGTGAAGTAATTCGATGAAAGATCTATATCTTGGACATTTTCCAGCTTGCTTAGCCCAATTGGCAATGGTCCTTCAAGATGATTATGGGAAAGATTCAGGAATATTCGCATCTCTTGTATACCTAATATTCCTAGAGGGATGCCCCCTGTCAATCTGTTATAGGACAAGTCCAATTTGGCCAGATCCCTGCACTGTCCTAAACTTCCAGGTATTGCCCCTGAAAGGAGGTTGTTGTTAAGGAACAGAAAATTTAATTTGGTCAAATTTCCTAGAAATTCAGGGATCTCACCAGAGAGAGTGTTATATGACAAGTCAAGCAGACCTAGATGATGCAACTGTCCTAATTCTACTGGAATTGTGCCAGTGAATTTGTTGTGTGACAAGAAAAGCTGTTGGAAGAATGGCAACCCACTGATCTCTGCTGAAATTCCATTCAAAAGATTGGATGTCAAATTCAGCAACACAAGATTGGTAAGATTTGCTAAATTTGAAGGAATGGACCCCAAGATCTTGTTTTCTTGTAGGTATAGATATTGAAGTTTAACAAGTTGGCCAATGGAACTAGGCAACTTTCCTCCAAGGTCCATGCCAGCCAATTCAAGCTCGTTTAGTATAGTGCAGTTTATGAGGGCGGTGAAGAATTGGTCAAGGTCATGACTGACAAATTTATTGTTTGATAAATGAAGATTGACAAGAAAAGTCCACTTTCCTAGTATCTCCGAAGGCAATTCACCAGTAAAATTGTTATACTCCACATCCAAAGTATACATGTTTGAAAGGTTGGACATAGAGAATGGGAATTCTCCGGTGAATTGATTATTATACAAATTAAGGTTCCACAGAATAGGGCAGTTTCCAATTTCTGGTGGAATATTCCCGTTGAGAAAGTTGTAGGAGAGGTCTACATTTCCCAGTGAAGTGCAGTTGGAGAAGAAGGAAGCTGGAACCATACCTGTTAAGCTGTTGTTCCTCATACTTACAAAAGTACGATGGGAAAGGAAGGAGAAGAAATCCGGTATTCGACCATCCAATTTGTTCCCATCAAGCTGGATCCATATAAGGTGTCGGAGGGAGGAGAATTCTGGTGGAATGTTGCCATACAGGTTATTGTCAGCAAGCTGTAAAAATCGAAGCCGGGTTAGATTTGAAATGAAGGGTGAAAGCAACCCTACAAGTGCAGAACCATTGAGGTTGAGTCGTGTCACGCGATGCCACTGTTTGTTGCAGTGGACACCCGTGAAGTTGCACACATAATTGGTCTCATTCCAGTTAGCAAGTGAGGAATTTGGGTCAGATATTATGGTCCTTTTGAATGCAAGAAGTGCAATTTTATCAGTCTCTAAAGAGTGGTAAGGTGGGTTGTGGTGGTGATAAGCAGAGAGTGCCTGTTCAGGGACTATAAAAAAATTCAGCAGCAGAAAAAGGAAAATGGTTCTCTTGAAGACCATGTTGGAGAAACTGAAGTGCACAATGAAAAGTAACCTCTACACTGCCTATCTCTTACGTTCATGGTGCTACATAATAAATTAATAAAAGAAGACTACCACAATCGTGTTTGTCCAGTTTTTGTGTGTGTGTGTGTGTGTTTTCAAGAGAGAGGTTGTTGATGATGAATGAGGAATGGTGTAAATGAAGGTGGGCAGAGATCTTTTTGTATGAACAGTTCAATTGAGCATTGATTTGTTGGTGACTAAACAATCTTTTCCTTATGAGGTTGCCCTTGCAACCATGATGGGTAGATTTGCAATTCAATTTAAATGGATGCCCCACTTGGAGGGCAATAAAAAATGCTGCAATAATCCTTGTTGAGTGGCCTTGGAATCTGAGGTGGAAGTACAGCAGTTGACATTCTAATGTCCTGATTTTGGTGCAATTTGTTTGTCTTTGAAATCTCTCCCTTCATATTCTGGATCTGGATGGAAGTCGGGAATTCGAATTCTCTTGTGGTCATCTCATAGAGGGACTATATGTGTATGCGCCTTTTTTAGGTCGTTATCCACACATTTGTTGAAAATATCATTACTTGCTTTAATAATAAAAATTTCGACTGGCAAACGTTTGGTCTGTCAAATCCATTCTTTACATCATTTGGTTTAGACTTGTATTACAAATCAAATCACATCCTTCTCAACAGGCCCTATTTGACCTAATGGTATGTTTGGGTTAATTGAGTAACAGACAATTTCATTTCTAGTAGGGAAAAAAAGAAGCCAAGAAATGTTACAGTATTTTTTTTATTGTTGGAATTTGTGATAATGGAAAAATTAAAAGATATGTGTAGGGTTCCATTGTGCAACTTATCCTTGCCTGGTTATTTCATTTTGATATACGATGTCTCATGCTTGGTTCTACAGGAGAAAAAGAAGGGATTAAGCATGTCACAACCCATTTGGTTCATATATTTAATTTGAACTGAATCTTTATGTTTTGGTTAGTTTCCACTTTAGACAATATTTAATTTGAACTAAATCTTTTGTTTTGGTTAGTTCCCACTTTAGAAAATATTTAATTTCAATTAAATGTTATTTTATGGTTAGTTGCCACTTTAGACAAGACAATTTGAATCCATCTGATGCCATTTCTTTTTTGAAGAACTCTTTGTTAAAAGCCTAAGTGGAACTTGGAAGTCACATTTCACGTGTATTTTATCAAAGGGCATGTTCGATATGAGTTTTCTTTTTGGTGTTTTGTAATGTTTTTTATTTTTATCATTTTTTATTTTTTAGAATTTTTCTAATTTTTTGAGGCCATTTTTGCCTTGTCTCGTTTTGTGTACCGGACAATGTGGAGTGTGCCGGATGTATTTAAGAGTTATTTGAGACATTCCCTTGAGTTCGGGATTCCTGGAAATACATTGGTTGTTATTTCGGTATTTTTTATTTTATTTTTCAGACTGGGAGGTCCCAGGTGAGACCCGCTACCGAGGTCGTTGTGTACGGGAATTTTGTTTCGGGTCCATTGCACTTTATGCATATTTATTTGATGTATTTTTATGTAAATACATGCTTTTATGTGGTTACAAGTGTCTAATGTTCAAATAGGTAAAATTGTTAATGATAAAGAAGATATTTACTTAAGGCTTGGGACCCACCATTTTTGTATATCATTTCATATGGTCATTACATATCCACATTCATTCCTCTCGTCAGTTTTCTCTCTCTCTCTCTCTCTCCCTTAGTTTCTTCTTTCTTTCTTTTTTTTTTTTTTTTTTTTTCACACTTTAAGCTGAGATTAAGGATTTATTGTTGGGAATTTGGTATTGTCGCTTAAGGTAAAGTTGGAGAGCTCGTCAGGGCCATCATTTTGATCGGAGCCAATCTTCGTTTGGCCACCAATTGAGAATTCAAGAATTGGGCATTTTTAGGACTTTTTCACCAATTTGAGGTAGGGGTGCTCTAATCTATTATCTCTTGAATTTCTTGTGAATTTTTCCCTTTAATTTGACTTTAAGAATGCTTAATTTTAATTATTTTGATTGTGTTTGTTAGGGTTATTTGTATTTAAGGTGATAAATGTGTACTATGTGTTAATTGGGCTTATTAGTATGATGATTTTCATTTTGGTGAAGAAGTATGCTTAGTGTTGGTATGTTGTATGTTTTATGATTTTAATTGTTATGAAAATTTATGTTATAATTATGGAAATAAATATTTAGAGCTCCCTATCAAGAATGTTATGATGATGTAGATGGAATGTGTGGAAATTTTAGTATTGAATTGGCATTCAGAAGTATGAAACATTCATGTATTAATAAAAATAAAAAAAAAAAAAAAAAAAAAAGGTGTTTTGAAAATAAATGAAATTGTTTTGGAAAAAAATATTTTTGAAAAGTGTTTGCAAAAATCGGACGCATAGGAGTCGCCTAATGGTCCACGGCATTATTGTGATCTAGAGGGGACTAGGGAGAGACCCTAGCGTGGTGAGCTACTTAGGCTGGATGCGATGCCTTGGAGTTGCCTTGTGATCGTGGATAGTTAGCTAATCCTCCTCTCATGACGCATTGGAGTCACCTTGGGTCGAATTGCACTAACGGTTCGGAAAGGTGAAACGGTATTGTTTTAGAAATAGAGAGCGACATTTCATGTTATGGCATATCATTGGCATATATTGCACACTTGGTAGTCGGATGACTAGTGTATGTATTTGTTGATATTATTACTGTTTTACTAACTTCCCGAGGCATGATCCCGTTCACTTGTATTCTATTCCTTACGTGGGATTCACGGGGTCGTAAGAGGTATGTCTTAGACACTTCCTACTGAGCGGTTGGCTCACCCCATTACTTTAATATTTTCAGGACACAAGAAAGAGGTGGTGGACGACGATCCACCACAAGTTTAGACGAGATTGGAGATCTATATTTTGCTATCTTTTGTATTAGAACATTAATATTTTCTAAATATAATCTTAATTATTTTGTAAAACTTTAGTTTAATTTGTATAATGTTATAAGTTATGGATTTTTAATTTTAACTATATTTCATGGACTGTAACTTGATGTAATTAAAGTGCGATCTTTATAAAGGATTATGGGACTAGATAGTGGACTAGTGTTTTCATGTTTGGATGAGATAGAGGACGGGTTTCATTTTATATGTATGTGTTGATATTGTGAATGTTGTATATTATTTGCATTGTGTGTTGGGGGTATGATAGATTAGTTTTTAAGCCAAATGAGGCCATTGCATTTTATATGTATTTCAGCAGGTTGTAGTAGGACTTTTTTTTCAAAGGTCATGCCGAATTTATTTTTATTTACTATATATATATATATATATATATATATATATATATATATATTTGTGGTATTGTCGACCAGTATCTTTTTGGGCCGTTATAAATTTGGTATTAGAGCAATGGTTTGAATACCATTAGGTCGACGGGTAGAGGCCTACCTAGGATTGCATGAAAAATTGAATTGCATGTTTATATGCTTACGTGTTAAGGTGTTTAATTGTTTGAAAAGTATGTCTAACTGCTTAATTGTGTAACTGTTTATGTGATTACGTGCTAAGTGTTTAAAGTTAAGGTATATTATCATGATCATGTTTTATCATTGGTTTGGTATTCTGGGAGTATGGAAAGTGTTTATATGTTTCCATTCTTGTTAAGTCATTGGTGTGAGGACTCCGTTCTTGTGTGGATTTTAGTGTCATCGTTTTTGACTCGTTTCCTTTTTCTTTTAGCGTCATGCCACCAAGAAGGGATCCCAGGGAGAGTTTTAGCTCCAATCTCGTGGGAAGGGGCTCAAGTGGGTGAGGACCAACTTAGGTTGGCTTTACAAGCAGTCTTTTAGGATGCACTTTGGACTGCAGTGGCGTCTTTGTCATAAGTTGTGCCACCACCGGCACCACTTCCAGAAAAGAATGAGTCAGAGAAGACTCTTGATTATATTGCTAAGTTCGTGAAATTGATGCCGACTTTGTTTGAGGGTCATCTAGATCTGCTTGTTGTGGACAGTTTTATGGATAGGGTGGAAAAACACCTTAATGCTATGAATTTGGCGATGAATAGGTTGAAGATTATTCTGGCTACTTACAATTTTACAGGCGATGCGAAAATTTGGTGGAAGACCATTTCTCACATGCATAATTTGGACACAATGACCTATGATGCATTCAAGAAGTTGTACTATGAGAAGTACTTTCTGGCACCTAAGCGGAAAAAATTAAAGATAGAATTTGATGGTCTTAAGCAAGGAAATATGACAGTCACGGAGTATGAAAACAAGTTCACGTCTCTTTTGAGATTTGCCCCGTGCTAAGGATGAAAAAGAAAAGACATTGAAATCTTAAGGGAGGCCAAAAGCTGAAATTGTTTGTACTCACACATAGATCTCGCCGTGCTCTCCATTTTGCCGCAAATGGCTTCCAAAAACTCTAAGAGATGAGGAAGTAATTAAATTTTGAAGTTTAGCAAAGAAAAGAAAAAGAAAAGAGAAAGAACAGAGAAAGGGCTGGGAGATAGAAAGAATGAGAGGCCAAGAGATGATGGTCTCTTGGTCAAAAATCTAAAAGATAGTGGTGGTGGGTCCCTCCACCACAAAATTTCCCAATTTTGATTTTTCTTTAATTTTTCTCTCCACAATATATATGTATATCAAAATAAAAAAAACATTACATTTTCCCCAACTTTAATAGATTTCGTCCTCAAAATCAAGCCATACCTGAGGGAGAAAACAACTCTGGATACTTGGAGCGAAATTCCTGTTCGAACTCCTAAGTAGCCTCCTCAACTCCATGATGCCTCCAAAGAACCTTTACCAACGGTACCATCTTTTTCCTCAACACCTTCTGCTATGTGTCAAGGATCTGAACTGGTCCCTCCTCATAGGAAACATCCTCATCAATGTCAACCTCAACCCAACTCAAAACGTGAGATGGAACCGGTTCGTACTTCTGTAGCATCGATACATGGAAAGCATTATGGACCTTGTCCATCTGTGGTGGCAATGCTAGTCTGTAGGCAACCTTTCCTACACGGTCCAAGATCTCAAAAGGTCCAATAAATCATGGCGACAACTTGCCACTCTTCCCGAACCTCATCAACCCCTTCCATAGAAAAACCCGAAGAAAAACGTGGTCTCCCACCTCAAAGGATAGTGGCCGTCTCCGTCTATCTACATAACTCTTCTGTCGGCTCTAAGCTGTAAGCAATCTCTGCCTGATCAGCTTAATCTTCTCGGTAGTCTCGAGTACAATGTTGGGTCCTAAGGCAACTATCTCTCCTACCTCAGTCTAACAAATAGGAAACCTACAAGGTCTGCCATACAATGCCTCAAATGGAGCCATCTGAATACTCGCTTGATAATTGTTGTTGTAGACAAACTTAATAAGTGGAAGGTGATCCTCCCAACTACCACCCAAGTCAAGTACACAGGCCCGAAGCATATCCTCCAAGATCTGGATGGCATTCTCTGACTGGC